TGGAGAACACAGAGAAACCGCGCGCTAGACGGGGACAATATCTATATCGTTTTAAGGATAATTCATCAAGGTGTTAGAGGGAAGAAATCTCGATTCTCGGGCCGTCTGTCGTACCCAACGCTGGTTGGGAGGGGATTGTCATGGTTCTTTTTGCCTTTTCCGTTCATCCAGAACTTCCAGATGGCGAGAATGGTTTTATGACCCTTTGCTAGCTCTTTTATACTCGTCTTTTTATGTTGTCTAGTGCATTTCAAAAAAAGATTTTGGGGGGGGGGGGCTGTCAGCACGTCTTCATACGCGAAGAGTCCTGTGCGGGAACAGTGAGGTACCCAAAGGATATCGGAGGCCGGGTGCGGCGCTGGCCAGTCTTCGTTGTCATTGAGATATCAACGGTCTTGAACGCAAGTGAAAAGGCAGGTTTTACGAGGTATTTTTCACCCCCCTGAGATCCTAGCGTCTCCGATGCATGGAACCGAGAAGGTTTAGCTGGTGTTCCTGCTTGCTGCTTACTACACCTTGGTAAAATCGAAGCTAGTTCCAAATAGTCTCTGAATTGAAGCTCGAAAGCGCTGCCTGTCTAGACAGTGACATATGCTGATGATAGAGACCGACGATTGTAGGATGGTAGAAAGAGTTATGTATTCGGGCGTTGAAAAGCTCTCTCCCTAGGCCTTTCTCTTAGCTCTCTGTCCTATCCTTTGCAGTCTACTCGCAATAAGATGTTCACTCGGGGAGACCGACTTCTGATGTATTAATAGAGTGTGAACAGAGTTATCCCGCCGGCTGTCTGGAGTCATCCGCGCCACATTGTCATTTGTAAAGCCTTGTATCATGAGACGGATTTTGGATGAACTGGGTCTCGGCATTCGCCTGCTTTCACTGTAATACACGTCGTGTGATACCTAAGTAGTGAATGTTGATGCAACGAAGAATGTATATTGTAGCGCCGGGTGATCTAGAAGGTATCGTCTACGGAAACAGTAAATTCCAGCAACGCCATCCTGCCATCCTGGCCGCTAGTTCGTCCCTTGATAATACTGAAGGATACCTTCGCAGTCTTGCTTGAGTTGTTTGATTTAACTACTCTATCAAGCTCGCTGGACGTGTCCTCCATTCTGCCGTCGTTCTCCCAAAAAAAATTATGCAAATTCGTTCAAGCAAATCAGAGTCATAGTGTCGTGACTATTCCATAAGATAGTCTCCAAAACCCAAAGTACATGGATAGATGGGGCCTTCTTAGGGAGTGCAGCTGACTCCGAAAGGGCTGCTCTTGCAGAAGCCCGTGGTAACGCGAGTGCCGCCAGGCTGCGTACGAGAGATTAGTATGTCGAGAGCTGAGGCGTTACCATTGAATCTGGTACTCACGTTGTCTACGCATGTGACTTTGCACGCTACACCAACATTATCCTTGTTACAGTTTGGTTCCGGAGTGCACTGAGCGGTAACTGTATGGAGTTGGGCCGCAGCTTGACCGAGAAGAGCGGCGGCGACGACGAGGAGATGTTGAAAGTGCATGTTGTTTGTTCGTTTGGTTTGAATGATGGAAGCTGGAATAGAGTATCGTAGAGTTTAGGAGTCCAAGAGATAACTCGGGATATAAAGATGCGAGGGCTGTCTTTAATGTACTCCAGGTTGCTTCAACGACTCCCCACTCGTTGCTTTATCCATCGAGGTTGATTATCGCTGCATGGCTTGATCGGCATCAGATTCTTGATGAACGTGTGATACTCGGTATCCCACATGGCGGATTTAGATTGAAACTCGTGCTGGCAATTTAGAGTTTCCCCGTTGACTACTATACCATGAAGCTTTATTATAGTATGTCTAGGAGCGGAAAGACATCATTGTGGTCTTGGTGCCCGCTTGCGCGTTGTGGCTGGGGTGATGCGACTCATAAGGCTGTCTGTCAGTTTGGCCGAGTATCCGTATTGGATGAGGGTATGATTCGATGACGAAGGAGGAGGCTCATTTGGACCTTGGGTTCTGTGTTGTTGATGACTTGGCGCAAGTGAACGTTTATGGAAAATATCTTGCCTATTTCATGAGTTTCGTAGGTTCTTGAGCTGGAGCACTTGGCTTTGGACAGTGGACGGGATGAACCTCCAAACTGAACTCCCAACGCGCACATAAAAGGCTGATGTGTCTACCCACTGGAGTCGGGTACCCAGCTGCTGGTTGAACACCAAGACGATCGTAATTTAGACTTGCTGAAGGGAAGCGAAGTTGACAAGACTCGCAACAGCCCCATCGTATACCAACCGCGTGGAATCTTCAACTCAAGATAGTTGCCTATTCCACGCGGAAACGGCAAGTCTGCACATGACTCAGCTTCCGATTGAGTTTCGTGTAGACGAACGCCTGGCGAAAAGAGTGTCAAGGCTGGCTGGTTGCATCGAAAATCCCGGTTCGCCCTGTCTGTTTTGCATGAGAGCCTGAGAGGGCAGGAGGGTGATGCGCGCAAGTTCCATGTAGCTTGCGGGCCTCCCGATCCCCTGGAAAGCTTGGCTCCGTACAGACGTCGATGCTATTAAACGAAGACTGGGCGCTCAGACTACATGAGATTTAGGAACCCGATTACTCGGGTCTCAGAATTAGTCGGCGATGTTGTCTGCAGCAAATTCGAGGTTTGGATATAGCTCAACGCATGCTTAAGTGCCAGCGTAAGTGCCAAATGATGCAGGATTGTTACTTTTGTCAGGCTGTGCTGCAAGTAAGCCACGCTACCGCTATACGAAGCTATCGGTGGCAAGTTTCATTGCAGAGTTCTGCAGCTCCAACTATCCTATGTATACAGAGGAGGTTCGCGAGTTTGGAGCACTTGATCCTCTAGGAGGGTTGCTTCAAATGATCGCTCTGCATTCGCCGAGGAGCGCGCGTCGGAAGTTCTTGTCTCTTCTGGCATTGAAAGCTGGCACCCAAGAATCCGCAGCATGTCAAAAAGAGAAAAATGGCGGGTATGGACTCTGATTCAAGTAGTACTCTATAAAGCCACTCTTTCGCACAGCATACATTCCCCCACACCGACCGAGACCGAGACAAGATTGCGGCCGCCGTCCCCACGGGATCAATCCCGGATAGGTCACCGATGCGCACGGGCCTCCCGTCTCCGGCCGGCCGGTCTTGACGTTACTGGACCCACCCACGGCAGAGTATTTCTCCCAATCGGGTAGGAAGCTGGCGGTACGTAACTATCTGCAAGGAGAGGGGGGTTACCTACCAGGATGTCATCACCCCTCCAGACTTGATGGGGGGAACACGGGAGTACTTAAGAATCGAAAGACCCAGTTCATTGCAACGTTCCTCGTCACTATGGAATACATGAGCATATGTAATCGCCAACTACACGGTCAATAATTTTGGCCTATTTCATGTCGCCATGGAGGGTCTACAGCTCCCCGATATCAACGACTTGCTGGTTACAGCAGACAACCCAGCGAGAGCCGACGTATCAGGAATGGACCACGAACGATGCGCATCTCTGCACAACTATCTGGTGCGCTACGCCTGGGCAGCCGAAGGCCGTTCATTAGCCGATCTAGACGGAAACAATGCCACATTCTTCACCACTCACGGCGACGACGCCGAAGCTCTTCGTCCACGACTTGACACATCCCTCGAAAGATTCCTAGAGACGGCCATGCTACCTCCCGCAAATGCAGACGACCCAGCACCCTTCTTCTTCTGGGCTGCCAGCATCGCCGAACCGGAAGGCCTTTTTGACAACGATACATTCGACTTATTCGACGAGCCCGAGGACGCCTTGGTCTGCATATACCCGGCCATTGATGGCCAGGGAGGCGGGTCTGGCGGTGGTTTGTGGTATCACCAGCCCACTCACCGCGCCGCCTTCTTCATGAGCCAGGTCGATTATGAATTTGCGCTACCCGTTAACGAGGGGCAGCATGCCGCGCTGTGGCACCCGCTCGAGACTGTCCTCTCCAACTGGATCAATCTCATTCGCCTTGGAAAGACCAAGGTCACACCTCACGACACGCCCTCCCAGTATGGCAGCGAAAAGATTGGCGGGCGCTGGGAGTGGCGACCATACGGCGATGCTCAGGTAGCTGATTGCATTGCCGCGTGGGATCAGCTGTGCGACGCCATCGAGGCACGCACACCAAATGCGACAGACCAGCCGCAATCTGAACCGTTACTCACGCCCGCTGTGCTTGACGCAGCATCAGTACCGGACGGCTTTGCACGCGCCTTTCTGGCCCGCGCCCGTCGGCCCAGGTTCGGGCACATCGCTCCGGGCCTCGCCTTGCCTCCTTCAAACGCAGCCGAGTTCACGTCTTTGCAGCGCTTCGCACAGCAGCAGCAACGGGGGCCGCAGGATATCCCACCTGTCTGTCTCTTCCCCGCCGCGCAAAGTGGACTCGAGGCCGACGTGACTGGGTCGTTTAACCCATTTCCAAGTTACTCGGGTCTATCCCGAGTCCCCGCTGGCGTCTATAGCGAGTCCATCTCAAGGGATTCATACGACAACGCCGAAGAGGGGTTCCGGTTGCTGTTACCATTTGGTTTACAGGGTTATGTTGGGGATGAGGAAGATTTAGCTGGCGCGCGGAAGAGTGACGGGTCTTTTGTCGAGACGGGTAGCGTGGCCGAGCTCTACCAGCATGGATACAAGCCATTTGGCGGCGACCAGAACCGCCCTCAACACCTGGAACGTCTTCTGAATCATTGGCGCGGGTTAGTTGACGAGGGCATCTGGCGTGTAGGGCCGCAAGGGGTTGAAGGCTCCATTGAGACTTTTCGGGAGGCTGACACGACACATTGGCGCAACTATCACATCTCACCGAGTTGGTAATGTTTACTAGGTATTGGTAAGACTCTCTACTGAATGAAAAAAACTACGATGAGAAACGTAGTTCAGGAATAATTGCTCTCGAAAACCTATACGCTCCTCAGATGGACTTTGAAGCTCAAAAAAATAAAGCTACAGTTCCGAAACGAACTCTTTACGCAAGTCGCCTCGAATCCCCGATGTGATTGTCTGCATACTTACAAAATACGATGGATTTGATCCAAAGTAGAATAGTACCATTCTAAATATTCTTAGATAGTATCCGAAGCAGCGCCTCTTACGACCTTCATCTCTCTCACAAAAGGCAGCGAAGGGGGATGCCCATCTGCCCATCTCAAATACAATGCTACATGAACTGCATATCTTGAATTGGTAGCCTCGGACCTAGGACGGTGCAAGCGTCATCACGCTTCCCATTCTCGTCGCCGTCACCATGGTGCTTATGGGAAGGGTAGGCTCTCCGTTGCCTGGCTGCGCTGCCGCAGTCACCGTCGCAGTCTCGGCGGTGACTGTGACGATGCTGCTATCCGCCACAGGGTCAGCGCTGGACCACGCATCGGCGATGGCTTCATCATCCGTGTACATGTCAACGACATTGCCGTCTGCATCGACTACGATGTGTAATTGTTCCTCATCCCGATCGTCGTAGATGACACCGCAAGTTCGTCCGTCGACTTGGTTACCATCCCCGTCAAGGAATAGGAGATTGTCGTAATCTAGTTCAGCATCGACACTATTGGAACCCTGGCCGTCACCGAGGTTGACGTGACAGACCATGTTATCCGTAGCGTTTTCAGTAGTGTTGCTGGACACAGCTAGGTCTCTCTGGAAGATGCCAGGCTGGAGATTGTAAGGGCGGGGTCCGTTGATTGGAGCTGGATCGGTTCTATAAGACTGCCGGGGCCAGCCGTACGCACGATCGTACATGCTAAGTGAAAAAGAATTTCAATCAGTATAAGGCCAATGAAAGGGGTCGCGTCGCACACCAAGATGAACAAAACTTACGGGTCATCGTCGAGCACGCGGAAGCCATGATCAGTGATCATTGTGTTCTCGATAGCACCTGCTACCCGGGTATAAGTGTACGAGGCGAAGCACAGCGAGCCAGGCGTCTGCAGGTCGAATCCGAAGGCATCGATGAAGCGTTTTCCACTGCCGGGGCCGCGACCACCACTCAATTGATTGAACTTCCTGCAAGAAAACGTTGTCAGATAAGCCATGCTTCTCGTTGGAGAAGTTGCAACTACTCACCATGTAGCCGGTGGCCCATTGTCTTGAATGCGGCAGACGTCCCTCCGGTATCTGAAGCAAGGCACCCACTGCGCCCTCTTCCACGCTAAGTAATCCCTTCCTTGTGCTCCGTTCGCTTGTTTATTAACCAGACGGCAGGCCTGCGGAGCTCCATTACCAGACTCGCGAAGGTTGGCCATAGGGAACTCATCAAGCTGACACCGGGCAGGATCAGGCCGATTAGAACCCTGAACAAGCGTGCGATAGGCAGCGTGCCGCTGTGTCGCCGTTGATGCCCAGCCCGAGTACGCCCTGTTGACGCCGCCTCCCGACGAGAAGGGATGGAAGACAGTCTGGCCGCCAAGTTTCTTGTTAATCGCCCAGCGCTGGTTATCGCAGACCTCGTCCCAACCCATGCCGTAACGGCACGTATAGGTGACGGAACAGTCGCAGCTGGTAGACGTGGCAGCTCCGCCAAAGTCTAGGATCGGCCATTGCCCATAAGATGCTCTCCCGGCGATAGTGGTTGGGACACCGGTGTTGGGCTGAGACGGGGATGAGCCAAAGAGCCAACCGGCTATAGAAGAGATGATGGCGAAGCCTACGGCGAGTGCGGCAAGTGCGGCGGCAGCGCAGATGGCACCCTCGATGGCGGCAGATAGACCAAACGTGAAGGGCGCTAAGGCGAGCAGAGGAGTAGCTGCTTCCAGACAGAGAGCGCCAAGGCCGCCGAGTAGGAGGGGGGCGCCACGCTCCTGGAGGACGAGGCCGCGTTCTTGAATCAGGGCGAGTTCGCCTGTGATGAGATCGCGCTTGCTGACCTCGTCGCCGTTCTGGCCGTACAGCACAAGGTTGCCCGCGTTGGTGATGGACGAAGGAACGAATCCCGTACAACAGTAAGCCTGATAGCCACCAGTACAGGTCAGATCAGCCAGCTGACCCCCTTCATTGTCTTGATAGGAATTGCTGTTGCGCGCCACAATAGTGGCCTTTGCGTCGCTACACGCCGGAGAGCAGGGGAAGCCGATTCCGCGAAAGCCCTCCCACTTACAGGTGCCCATCGTGGTGCCGGGGGCGCAACAGAGAGTCTGGGTCTCTCCCAAGGCGCAGATGGAGTTCTTCTGGACACCCGCGACCTGGCCGCGGGCTTCGGTGGTCCCAAAGTAACCTGTGTGGCACCCCTCGCCACACAGAGACCAGTAACAGCTGGATGCAATGGCCTGTTGGAGCGTTGCGTTGGCCAATTGCTCTTTGTATGACTGGGCAGCCTCTGTCGAGATGCCGTTGGCCGGTCCGATGCCCAGGAGGTCGCTCATACTATCGCCGGCCTTGTTATCCTGGTCCAACGCCCACTGTGTGACAAGTTTTGTCAGTTATTTACCCAAACCATATCCTCGTAAGACAAGAGACCAGTCACTAGATGCCAGTCGAGAAAATACTCTTACAATCATGATGCCTCCTAAGCACAGGCTGTTGGCTCTCTCCATCTTCTGCTGCATAGTCACGCCGTCGTCGTAGCTGATCCACTGGTTCGAATCCCAAGTCATCCACTTCACGGCCGCTTCAGCGTCATATGATTCAACAACACCGCCCGAGGCCTGAATCCGCTTGATCTCGGCGTTGGTCAGTGTTCCGGATGACCGCGAGCACTCGCCGGCCGTACCCCCAGAGGAAAATTGGCAGACGCCGTTGGGGATGTTGCAGGCCGGGTCGGTCAGCGTGAAGGAGCGGCCGTACCAGCCGAGACCGAGCACGACCTTGGACGGGCTGACACCGGCACGCCATAGTAAGGAAAGGCCGTCCTCTATCTCGGTAAGGTTGGTGTGCGGACGGATGTACGGCCCCGTGAACTTGTTGGTCGAGTCCCAAACACCGTGGATATCATAGCTCATCAGGTTGAGCCAGTCCAGATGAGGCTCCATGCTGAGAAGATCAAAGTGCTGCAGGTACCAGTAAGAAGACGGTAGTGTGGCACTTATACCGAGGGCACTGCCGAATGAGGCTCTCAGTTCAGAGAGGAAGGTGGGAAAGTTGGCAAAGTCGGCCGGTTTTCCGCCTCTGTCATCGGCCACGGGATACTCCCAGTCAAGGTCGACGCCGTCGAAGCCATATGTCTGCATGAAGTTGAGCAGCGAGTTAATAAAGGCTCGCCTGTTTGCAGCAGAACCAGCCATATCACTGAAAGCGTTCTGGGTATTAGGAGTATTGGTGGCATCGTTGAACGACCATCCACCGACTGAGAGCCAGACCTGCAATCCTGGCTGCTTGGATTTGAGTGCAGTGAACCGTGATAGCAGCGACGCTGCATTCGCATCCATGGGCGTGATCTGGAACGTTGTTGGGTCAAAGAAGGAGAAGGCGAAGTTGAGGTGTGTCATGCCCGTCAGTTGCAAGTCTTCTGGCTGGACCACATCGCAGGGTCGAGTCGTTGCCCAACTCTCATAATAGCCAATGCGTCGGGCCATGGCCGAGCTACCGGAACATTGAGGAGTGGGCGGCGGTCCGCAGCCTCCAAAGCCTTCCTGGCATCCATCGCCACAGAAGTCATCGGTGCTGCCACCTATTGAGATGAAAAATCAGCAAGGATTCCTTTCCGGGTTAGTAGCGGAAGCTTAGAATCCGGCAACTAGTCGAATCCGTCACTTACAAAAGCCATGCTTTGAGCAACACACGTTCAGGGGACATGACGCTGTCTCAGGAACTGCGTACTGCCCGCAAGGAGCTTTCGCGTCGCAGTTGGATATGCACACATCGGCACCGCAACTCGTGGGGGCGTATGAACAGACCCCAGTGTCGCTGCAACACGCGCCGTTGGAGCAAGGAATACCAGGCGCGCAAGTGCCTACGGGGAGACCGTTGTCCTGCCGTTTTTTCAACGAAGCAAGGTCCAGGTGGTCCAGTCTTGCACCGGGATTTTCAGTCAGATGTTTGATGATGGCCTCATTCTTGAAGACGGGCGTATTGTTCGAGTGAGGTTGGAAAAGGGGCTCCAACACCGAAGACGAGTTTCTTGGAAGTTGGGGCACCGCAGAGTATGTTGGTACGGAGTTGTTGCCCACTGCCGTGGAGTTGAGTTGGGCCTCAGAGGACCTACATACTGTGAGGACGAGCCCCGTCAAAAGCAGTAGTCTCATGGTGAGAACGGGAGGCTGGAAGCAGCTAATCAGTCTCGATACCACTTCATTGGAAAAGGTCACCTACACGAGCTATATCACGATGTTATAGTGATCGTGAAGCTGCGGGACAGGCATAGTCTCTCGGCGAGGAAGAAAAGGCGAAAGTTCCTGTGATCTGGTCACTTATTAAAAAGCCGCTGACAGGAAAGCGTTTCCGAGGGCTTTCCAAGTCTCTGATAATGTTCAATCCGTCCACGGCGTCTCTTTCACTCAGCACGTGAAACCTGATCTGTGCCTAGAAAAATGTCTAGTGACGACTCAGGTCCACGGAAGCTCTCGAGGCGGGGTTATCTTGGGATGTGCGCATGTCTTGCACACCGAGCTATCAGGCGACCACATAAGACGGCTCCATTTTGACGGCGACAGTGGTATAGATGTGACCATCCGGACAACCCGGTTCCCCCATAAGGCTACATCTTTGCCTCGATTAAATGAGATATTGGTGGATTTGCACGTACGCGCCGCACTTAAGCTTACAGACGATGGGACGAACACAAAGATAAACCTGATCGACAGGGATGACAGGGTAAATGCAACGGAACGGCTTACCAGATTTCCCTGTTGAGCCATCCCTTGGGTCGATGTGATTAAACTATTGGCTGACATGCATATCGGCACTGCACGATGCTACATCTCTGTGCCTGCGTACCTGCGTAATCTCCAGGCGAAGGATTTCCGACCCCGTCTTCCTACGAAATTTGGTGGAACGTCGTGCATCTTGTCTCATGATTTCCATCTTTTGGGCTGTAATTCGCGCAACACGTGGACAGGGTGCGGACGCATGTAAGACGGAATGTGGCGAGAATGAGGAGCACCAGGCATCACAGAGCGACGATCAACGGGAACCCCTATGATGGGGACGGACCAGCCCGCCTCGGCAACGGTAGTCGGGATCTAGCTTCTTCCTTGGTCCTTGGCGACTTTGAACTTGAGTTCTTGACTACTGATATTAATGATTAAGGGTTCTATCTGGATAATGCTGACTTCTCCGTCACGGAATTCTACCCAGCCGACCACGGTCAAAGGCAAAATGATGTCGCCATTCTTCAAACCGTCTGCTCTGCTGTTTTTGGCAGTATGGATAGGACGTGTCGTAGCCGACTTCGAACTCTACAAACTCTACAATGAAGATTCCTTGATTGCGGGGCTCGCTCTAAGCAGCAGCTGTCTGGCAGCATTGTGAGTATTGGCCCAAGCTACGGCTCCTGACTAGTTTCTGACTCTGCTCTTACGACAGGAACGCAACTGTCCGTTGTAATGAAACCGCGGTCAGCCTATTGGGAAGCGGTGCAGATATTCACTGTACGTCAAGAGTGGTATTCCATCATAGAAGTGTGAAGTAGCTAATCAAGTATAGACTGGACGACTCCCGAGGTGGAAAACCTTTGCACCTCGGATTGCGTCTCTTCCCTGAGCTCATGGAAAAGCAATGTTGACTCCGTCTGCGCGGATGAGACCACGCTCCAAGCCGGTGTTATCGTCAAGGCGAGGGCTCTCCCAGTTACCTTCACGTACAATGCCGAGCTTGTATGTCTGCAGGACAGTGCTTCCAACTGGTGTTTCATCGAGTCACAGACTTGGCAAGGAAGCGACTACATTCGCTACAGTCCAGAGATGTGCTTCACTGATGGAGACGACAACAGCACTGTGGCACCAGAGTGCGAAGATCCGGACTTTGACTTGGGGACCGTGACTAGCGACATGGCAGCCTTGACCAACATATACAAGAAGGATCTGGTAAGTGACTCGTCACTAAAACGATCTAAAAACAGCATAAGCGTAAACCATATCAGATTGCTGACCATTGATGAAGTTCTGCAACGATTGCTTTTTGGAAATCTATCGACAACGCCTCAGAGATCCGTGGTTACCAGTCAGCAACTTCACCGACTACTTGATTGAGCAGTTTGATGATGTGCAACAAAACTGCTCTACGTCATTGGCGTACACTACTTCAGCGTCGACATTGTACGTGGGCACGCCAACGGCGACCACGACCTCTGGCGGCACGGCGACGGGAACCAGCCCACCCACAACGGCGACTTGCCTAGGCCAGACAATAGAGCCAGAGTCAGATTGGCTGACTTGCGATGATCTGTCTGACACGTACGTCCCTTTTCTCCTGCTCCCGCTATGGAGTATTTGCTTACAACTTGCTGATGGCATTAAGATATAATGTTTCGACAGGTGACGCTCGGGTGGTCACTGGGGATCGCACTTGCTACTTCGACAAGGCGCTCTATTTTCCCCTGCCTTGTGAGATTGACACGGTCTGGGACTGGTCAAGTTGGTATGTTAAAACTGAATTCAAGGTTCAGTCTATTAGACAGCCTCAGTTTGTCTCTGAAGTTAAGGTGTACTGACAACGACGTGCTGGAATAGTGATGAGCTTGCCGCTCAGTACTCAAACTCGACGTACAACGTCACCACCAGTCAATTCCTCAGTTGGAACACCAACATTCAAGGAAGCTGCTCTGGAGTTGCTCCCGGTCAGCGGGTATGCAAAGGGTAAGAATAAGAGACTATGACCACGTACTACTCTCAATACTGACTCGGGCCGTTTCATACAGTTCACCAGGCGGCACCTTTCCCAAACCCAATGTCACCATCACCGCCCCTGGTGCGACAGGCTCGCCAACATACTACTCCACAGCCACGCCTGCCTACCCAACCCAAAGCGGTACCATCGACGCGTGCGGCAATTACTACCTCGTCGTAGCCGGCGATGACTGCTCAACAGTAGACCAGCGCTTCGGTCTAAAGTTTGAACAGCTTCAGGAGTATAATACGTACCTCCAAGACGACTGCCTCAACCTGTGGCTCAACTACGCCGTCTGCGTCGCTCCCGTGACGGCCCCAAGCAAGTCAACGGACGGCACATGCCCGGTCGGCGTGACATGCACCGGAAGCGGCTTCGGCGACTGCTGCTCGCCGTACGGCTTCTGCGGGAGCACAAGTGAGTATTGCAACACTGGCGGCAACAGCACCGACACGCCGGACGGCAGCTGCGGGCCGGATCACAACGGCTATACCTGTGTTACCCCCTTTGGAAGTTGCTGTAGTATCTATGGCTACTGCGGTGACGGCTCCGATTACTGCGGGGCCGGGAACTGCTACTCGGGCGCCTGTGACCCGGATATTGGTGGTCCCTCAATCAATGGGGAGTGCGGACCGTTGTTCGCGGGTAATAAGACGTGTACTGGCACCACTTTCGGAACGTGTTGCTCTACTTCTGGCTTCTGTGGGAGCACCAGCGACTATTGCTCAGGATCGAACTGTTACAGTGGTGCCTGCACAACTTGAGAGATTTAACACCTTGCTTAAGATGTAGAGAATATGACTGCTTTCCTCCTCAAAAAGAGTTCTTTGAAATTGCCACTATGCAAAGTAGCTTCACAACATGAAATAGCACTTGGCTAGTCTTCCTACTTCTGATACAGACAATCGGGATGACCTCGCGATGTGGCTGGCGGTACTTAACAAATAAGTGAGCATTAACGAGGCTCAATCAAGATGAACTAAAGATGATGGAAAACTTCTTTTGGATACCCATTCTCGTGTGTGTACTCTTTCTCCAAGCAGAAATTGCGAGGCATAAATCTTGTGCAAAATCGCTTATAGGGACACAAGGGTGGAACAGATACTTCCTCACGCAAGCTGCGCCCTAGTATCTTGACGTGCTCTGTGTTTAAAGACAAATGACTCTTTCATCAACTGCCATACTCTGCAAACGAAAGACAATACTTCCTCGAGTAGAAAAAAAAAATACCCTGGTCTGAGTCGCAAGCCTCCCAAACACTCTTACTCTTTAACAGCTCCCCCTCTCATCCCCAGGACAAGAAATACAGCACTGGTAACTCTTGCCATCAAACGTCGCTGGGAGGCGTCTCGGAACAAAGGTACCCCGGGCCTCACAGACAACCTGGTCGCTGTAGATACCCTGAGGAGAACCGCCGATACGCGTGCAGAGTTCACGGGAGTGGTTGATCCAGGCCTGCATGGAAATTTGGCCGCCGTTGGGGCTGCAGGAACTTCTGGCCCAGTTGCAGGTTTTGGCTGTTGTGATGGCCAGGGACGAGGCCACGGTGAGGAGGATAGTGAACTTCATTTTAGTTGTTCTTGGTGTTGCTACTTCGGAGAAGATATATTTCGAGTTTTGCTCCTTTGACAGGTCTATTCTGGACTATTCTGGACTGAACGTGTGTGGTATCTTGAGTTTTGAGTTGAAGAACTCGAGATGAGAGGGAGAAGGACGTTGAGCTACTGATCTGATGAACTACATGAGTGCTGAACATAATGATGACTTGTCTTATATACCTTGACCTTCGGCTTCTGGGGTCCACACGGTTTAACTACGTTCGGCCGAAGTAATGCGAATAGCTCGTAATCACCAAGTCTCTCTCGCAGTCGCAAGCTCGGTGTCCTCGCACCTGCGCGTTATTTTCCCGTTTCTCACGATGTGATATTACTGATCGATAGCTTAAGCTTTCGTTGAACTCGTTTACATCCATGACTCGAGGCCGAGAACGAGCGAGGCGCGATTTGTAGAGCGCATTCGTAGTTGGCTACAGACCAGCTTGCGGCCCACCGACCGTATACCCTTGATCTCTATATTGATTTGTACGGATAAGTCAAGTGAGTAAGTCGCCGAGAAGAACACTCAAATTTTCGGATATGCTCCCTGCCGTCACGCCCTACCCCGTACGGGCTGTAGTAGACTGGACCCATTTCCATCCTTGCACAGGCCAGTCCGCGGCGGTTCCGAGTTCTCAGCCATCTAGACTCCTGGAGTTATCCGTCGGCGAGATCCCCTAGGCTCTCGAAGGTTTGGGGAGATTGGGATCAGACGGGACGAAACTTGGGTTGAACCACCTGGCCCAAGCGTGCCGTGTGCATAAGTAGGGTATTTTGAGTTCAAGTGGGTAGAGAAGTGATTGCGATCTATTTCGTATTGGGAGTTGTCTGCGAATTTTGACTAGAGCTGTGCGAGTTGCGACTACGAATAGACCATGGAGATAGGGAGTTCGAGAGATGCCTGGGACCTCGCATTCTACTTGAGGAGGTGATCCGTCGTGAAAGCGCCAAAGTCACAGTCTAGTAGGACAACATTTGCTTTTCCTAGGGTTCTTGGTTTGGTGAACGGACTATATCTCGCCGTAATACAGGTAGGTATATATATGCGACTTGAGTCGCCTCTGATGATATCTTAAGACCCTTCTAGCTATTGAAAGAAAATACAGATAAGGATACACGATGTTGGATAGCAATTCCTTGCCGCACATCGAACTTTTGAACGAGCCAGCATTCTAACTCTATCACAAAAGCGACCTCCTCAAGCGCCCTTCAACCAAGAAGTTTCTTCAGATCCGCCATGCGAGTCTCCTGAGTCTTCTTCCCCTTGTTCTTCTCCTGGAACGCCTTGCCTACCAGTGTCCGTTTCTCTAGCTGAATATCGAGCACGCGCTCCTCAACAGTCCCCTCCATGACAAGACGCCACACAGTTGTAGGTCTCTTCTGGCCCAGGCGGTGCACACGGTCCACTGCCTGGTCCTCGATGGCCGGCGCCCACCAACTGTCTGCAAGAATCACCGTATCTGCTGATACGAGATTGAGACCGACACTGCAGACGGCCAAACTTGCGAGCATCACGCGCGTCTCCGGGTCGTGATCCAGGGCGTGGATAGCAGCGTCCCGTTTCGGTGCCGTCATGGAGCCGTCGATGCGGGTGAATTTGTAGCCAGCCTCGACAAGTTGGTTCTGAATGATAGTCAAGAACGACGTCCATTGTGAGAAGATGATGACCTTGGAGTCCGGGTCTTTTGTTGTAGCCTGTAAAATCTTGAGGAGAGCCTCAGTTTTGGAACTCTTCGCGTCGGCGTCAAAGTTCTCGTCTTCCTCTTCACCGCCCTCTTGGGCGGGCTCGAGAAGCGCGTCTTCGTCGAGCTTATTACGACACATGGGACACTTGCCCTGTGTCTGAATGACTTTGGAAATACAGCCGCGGCAGAAGACGTGCTTGCAATGCGTGATGACAGGGCTGCTCAGAGTGTCAAGGCAAACGGCACAGTCTTCTTGGGTTTCGATAAAAAGACGAAGAGCCTCTTGAAGGATCTTGGTGTTTTCCGAGTTGAGAACAACAACAGATTGGCCCTCAAGGACCTTGAGAAGATCGGCGATCCTCTTGCGGCAGAGTGTCCAGTGGTTGCATCTGAGGCAACATCAGCAAGAGTGTATTCGTCAAGGGCGGGCTATACTCACACCTGACGCAGGCGAAGAAGGCGCTCGAGGACATTTTGAAATTGTCCCTTCCCGCCAGTTTTGTTCTGGAAATTCTCAAGGGCAGTTTGTGCTTCGGACCTATGTTGATACATGAGCTTGATGCCTCAAGGGGGAACGCAGGCGACTTACAGCAATGCCTCGTACTTGCTCTTCTCGTCTGGTCTGAAGGCAATGCGGTGGACGTATTCCGTCTTGGGCGGAAGCTTCAAGTCAACGAACTTCATGTCTTTTTTGCGTCGCAGGCAGAGATCTCGCATCAACAGCTGTAGGAGAGTCTCCGCCGTCTCGTTCCCTTGGGCAAGGGGCCGAGCGATAACGCTGGTGAAAATGGCAGGTTGCTCGACGCCTCCATTGATTCCAAGGAATTGAAGCAAGGACTGGAAGTCCTTGATATTATTGATGCTGACAATAGTGAGTTTCGGGTATGCTCAGCTTGATTTCAACCAAAGTCGGGACACTTACATTGGAGTTCCGGTGACGACCCACCTGGACTGAGCATTGAGCTTTCGACAAGCTATGGCAGCCTTCGTCTTGGCATTGCGAATCGTGTGGCCTTCGTCGAGAACGACTCGTCTCCAATCCGTGGCCATAAGGGGGGCCAAAGGTGTAGTGGCCTTCTCCTGGCCTCCCTCCTGCGCAAGCTTGTTGTAGCTGGTGATGACGACCTGGTATTTGGCCAGCTCATTCTTGGTAGCCTTGTTGTTTCCGTGATAGGTAAAGATCTTGGGTAGGTGCTCTTTTTTGACATGCCTGCGGATCTGTTGATCCCAGTTGCTCATGACACTCAACGGAGCAACGATGAGCGTTGGACCGGTCCCTCCGGTCAAGATCAAGCTGATGACTTGTAAAGTCTTGCCAAGACCCATGTCATCCGCTAGTATGCCACCTGAAAGGAGCTTGGGTGCACTCTGTACCACGAAGTTCGTGGCCATGTTGTGGTACAAATTACGGCCGTTCGGGTGCCATTTCCACAATTGGACACTCTCCCCAGAGCCCTTGGGAGGCATCTGGGGGCTCTCTTTAGACGTCATCCATGCCAAACCCTACACTAGGGTCAGCTGAGGTGCAACAAGGTACGGAGAGTTCTCGGTAGCTTGGATTGGTGCGTTGGGCTTGCAGGTTGCCACGGATATGTAAAGCGCGAAAAGGCTTACCTGTAATTGGTATGGCAGCAGTGTTGACTCCAGAACGTCGGGCTGCTCTGCCATCGGCATCTTGGACAAGAAGTCCTCGTCCATGACCAGCGACTTGACGGCATCACCGCGCGGATGGCTTGACATTGCCTGACTGGCCTGTGCCAGGTCCTCTAGGGACACCTCTGGTTCGACAGGGTTCAAACCAATTGTGGATTGGCTGCCCTTGATGCCCAGCATCTTCCTCTGCGCTTCGGCCTCAGCTCTGGTCTGCTTAAGCTCTCTAGCCTTCAGCAGTTTGTCCTTCTTCAGCTTGTCCTCTAACGCCGCGCGGTCGACTGGGTTGCTTGAGCCATAGAGCTGTAGACGAATTGGACAGTCAAACATGCCCTTCTCTCCTGTGAGAATAGCCTCTATCGCGATCTCATCTCGATCCTAGCACAGGTCTTAGTTAACAATCAAATTGCAAGGTCAAAGCACCTACAACGTATGGCGCGAGCTTCTCAACCACTTTGCGTGGAAGATGGCCGATCTGGGCGCCCATGACGTTACACACTCGGATGGCATTGCGATCGTACTATGGTTATGTTAGACATCTAACGACAAGAAGTGAAGCTCAAAATTGAAGAAAGTCCTTTGAGCTTGTGATGCCCGTGATCCAGTACCTGGTTACTGGGTTCTCTCATGCATACGACCACTTCGCCTGGCGAGGCATATCCATTGTAGTAGCGAACGCCGACAATCTTGTTGTCTGTTGGTCTGATCAGTATACATGATGATACCTACTCAACATCTGAGAGCCGTACCGAGAATCCCATAAAGTTCTCTTGGTGGGCTATCGGGAGCTTGAGTCAGGTCAACGAGGTCGTCATCGTAGTCTGCAGACTGAGTCGATGATTGAGTAGCAAGAGCACCTGAGCTCAAATGGGGTTGTGAGTTTGATGGAGCATTCCCAAGAACTCTGCCGCTGATTTGACTAGAACCCGACCGATTACCAGCCAGCCTTTTGCTGGGTCGTTGGGTAGATCCGTCATCGTCATCGCTACTAACAAGGTCGATAACAGCGATGTGACGCTTCTTGGGTGGCATCCTCGACGTCCGAGCCCCCGGAATCTGGGGCGGTGTTCTGGGGCCGGATGGGTACTAGCTTGTGAAACCAAAGAGCGGATAGGGGAAAGTTGTCAGCTTACGCAGTAATTACGAGAATTGACAGGTTGGGACCGAACGATTCCAGATCTGGCGTGCCGAAATCCTAGCAGGACAATTGGGACCTCTCACACATCGGACCAAACGCGCGCGATAGACGCGTCTCTCACGTATCCGAAGCAGTGGGATCGGCGCAGGGATTCTCTTACACCCAGCAAGAATGAGGTGAGGCTTGAGGAGTGGCTGGAGATGTCGAAGTCTGTGGCTGAGTCGCTCCCACCTTGACACCTCGTGCAAGCACGCCATCGGAGAGAAGACCCATACTAGCCAATCATCATGAGTTGCAAAATCACGACATTTCACGTGACCTACATCCGGGCCCGTTTGGGATGGTCTCTGGCCAACGACGACGACTCTGCAGCTCTTGCACCTTTACAACTTCAATTCATTCATATCTTCTTGTCTCAGGTCATTGTCTCATGAATTTGCTATCTTCTGGTACCCAAAAAACATGCGGAAACGCGGCAGGTTGAGCTCGCCGACTATATCTATCCACTATATACGGTGGATAGAGCATTCATACCATCGCCATTCATCAGTCTACCGACAAGCGCTTTGCGGCTCTCGGCATCCTTCAGGTGTCTATCAAAAAGGACAAATCCAAGTTCGGATCATCGTCGAAGCCAAATACGCAAACGCCCAGGACAAAAAAGAACATCGCCGTCATCACCACTTACTGCTTCGGCAGTCGGCGGCCGTACGCTGAGTAGTAGCCGCACTTGGCTACATGGCTCCTCTTGCTAGTCTTCTCATTGAAGATGTTGCAACCACCCTTAGCGACATTGGGAGGGGTGTAGACTACGAAGTGGTCAGTCACAGCTCGGCAGAGACGGCGAGATAAATCCTACGGTGAAGGGAGACAGCGAAGTCGCTACCCTTGTTGCAGACTCGGTGGACGCCAAGTTCGTCTGCCATATATGCCACCGCGTTCTCCTTGTGTGTTCTTTCAGAGATTATTTGCATGGGTTGCTCTTCGTTGCCTTCCGGGAAGGCATAGCGGATCTCAGTCAGATCGCCTTTGAGAATCTTCATCAGGCAATGCGCATTGCCGTGGTCGTGGATAGGGCTGCCCTTGCCCGGCGTCCAGACAAGCACAAGCTGTGCGATGTTAGTCATGTCACTACCTGATGCCACGAAGTCGTGGCTTCGAGTTTGACTCACCAGATTACTCTTGCCGTTGCCTTCGTCAACGAGGTTGCGGGTGTAACCCATGCTCTTCTCGGCGAATGCAAACTGTATCCATTCGTTTTCCGTTGTGTTATACTCTTCCATCAACTTCATCAACTCGTTGACATCGACGTCTGCCGAATCAAGTCCCGACGGGCCAAGCGCCTCCTTCAATTTCAACACGAGCTCGTCGAACCGATTGACATCGGTCTTGAGGTTATGCCCGAAGGCGGAGGTGATCTTGGTCAGGATATCGACGGCCATGGCTGCTATGGAATGCTATCAAGTCGGTGGTGCTGTTGGTGGTGCTTGGATGACTTTTGCTTTGGATGATTCTGTTGGGAATGTATCGTGCGGGGGTCTGGACTCTGTGCTCGTCGGTGAAACGAATCTACCCGGTGACCGGGCGTGGCTGGCATTACCTGATGGAAACGGGTGGGACTGGCGGAAGTACTGGTTGATCCGACTTCGGCCGGTGGGTCGTCTCGTCGGCCCTGACTTTTCTCTTCAAGACAGGGCAATCTGTCCACGTTGCCAGAGCGCAGCGGGCAATTAAGTCGGCGACCAATTCGACGTCTGGTGGACTGGTCTCCAAAAATAGGCGCTTCTGGTTGGACGAGATAACCTACTTTGACAAAGTCGAGGGATCCCGGCAAAGCCGCTGATAGGCGACGGACAGCCCCGATACTTTTGGTGGTCAGATGTCCAAACACCAGACGAGATGGGTCTTGTTAAAGTCTCGCGGAGCTATGTCTAGTCAAAGGATTTTCATGCAGACTTTTGGTATCAAATTGAATTCTTGACAACAGTTAATTCTCGTTTTCCAAGTTGAATGGGTGGATCACTGCCGGCGTTGGCCCATAGCCGCACCGCCTCAGAGTCAGCTGAGCGGATCCGGTGTGGGGCTAGTGACCGGAAAGGGTTCGTCTAGATTACTCACGCTAGGAAACGGCTTTACCTTAGGTAAGAGGGCCAGAGTCATAGGGAAACTCGCCGCCATGAAATTCGTTCTTCATCGTTGGTTGCGTGAAGTCTCATCAATTATTTTGCTACATTGTCTGGAGCCAGATTTCTCGTCATTGTGTCATTCGGCAAGCAATAGTCAGATTCACTAAAGGAGTTGCGCCCAAGTAATCCGAGGTGGTATCTGAGCTACCTGTCCAAGCCATGGCAACTGTCAGTGCAACCTCGACGATTCAGTCGGGAGCGCAACAAACTCCCTGTCAAGATGCCCAGGCCTCATGTTCACCTTGTGATAAGGAGAATGTAGGCTGGAGGAAGATTGTCAGAAACTTCACCCCCTCGTAAGCAGACTCTTGAGAGCCAGCCCATCAATTGAAGTGTGTCTAACATAGTGCAGATGGTTTGCGGTTACAATGGGAACTGGCATAGTCTCAGTTCTCCTTCACAACCTGCCTTACAATGCAACATGGATCTCACACGGTCTTGCCGTTACATTCTTCGTACTCAACATCGCTCTGTTTACCGTATTCACCGTCATCACAGTGCTACGGTACGCATTGTACCCTGAAATATGGAAGGCCATGGTTATACACCCTGCCCAGTCCATGTTCCTTGGCTGTTTCCCCATGGGATTTGCGAGTTAGTCACGGAATCCTCCCCACAGCTTCATGACAATATATACTGAATCATGTGACCAGCCATCATCAACATGATGGTATTCGTGTGTGCACCTGCCTGGGGCCAGTGGGTGGTAATTGGGCATGGGCATTTTGGTGGCTTGATGCCGCTCTGTCAATCGCAACTTGCATCTCAGTGCCCTTTGTCATGTAAGTGACCTCATCACACAACCTCAACGTTCGAGAATGACCAACCCTGTCATGAAGGATACATCAGCACCGTCCGGGACTTCAGGCAGTAACAGCCGCAAGTCTCCTTCCCATCGTCCCTGTCGTAGTGGCATCTTCAACGGGCGGCATCGTCGCCGAGGCCCTCTCAAACCCATCTCACGCCTTTACAACCTTGATCGCGTCCTACGTGCTCTGGGGCATCGGAATCTGCTTCTCCGGCATGGTCCTCGCGCTGTACTTCCACCGCCTGACGATCCACAGCCTCCCACCCAAGGAGGCCATCGTCTCCGTATTTCTGCCCATCGGACCCTTGGGCCAAGGCGGCTTCGGCATTCAGCAGCTAGGAAAGGTCTCTCTCAAGCTCTTCCCTCAGACTACGGCTTTGACCGCGGCGGCTCCAGGGGCGGTGCACGGCGGGGAGATTCTCTACTTTGTTGGACTCTTCCTGGCGCTCATCATGTGGGGCTTCGCTCTCGTCTGGTTGTCTTTTGCTCTCATCAGCCTTGCCACGATGGAGAAGATCCCGTTCAACATGGGTTGGTGGGGTTTCACTTTTCCGCTGGGTGTGTTGGCGACCTGCACCGGCATGCTGGCCCAGGACTTGGACAGCCCTTTTTTCAGAGTTATGACCATGGTAAGTTCTTTCACTGAGTCTTCCTGATTATTATTGTGCGTTCTTGCTGATGGTTCTTCTAGATCTTCTCACTTTCTGTATGCTTCCTCTGGCTGCTAGTCGCTGTTAGAACGCTTCACCAGGCCATTTCTGGTGAGATTTTCTTTGCGCCGTGCCTCAAGGATATTCGGGACAAGCAAGCGCAGGCAGGATCGGACCGAAGGGTTTGATCAGTCGGATCAATATGAAAAGCCAGAATCAACAGCGACCCAGTATTGTTTTCAGCAGACCGCCCTTAGGGGCACAAACCTGGGTCTATTTCTTGTAAACCAGCTAAGCTCTTACTGACTAATCCGGTGATGCATCCACCGTCAACCATGTAGGCATATGATGTGAACTAAAAAGTATTGAAAATGATTCAGAAGCAGTGAATAGAATCAGTTTGAGTTACTGTTCAGAATAGCATGAGAATCTACCTTAAACTAAGCCTGCAAGCAACTTCCCTTGACACAGGCGAGCTCTTGTCTTAGTCATGTTGTTCTCACAAACAACAGGCCTGGAGATGCGCTGGCTGCTATTCAATGCCAATGGTCAGCAACTGGGGAACCCCAAAGACGCTAATGGCGGGGTCGATGAGGTGCAGGGCCAGGCCTAAAATTCTTTGGCGGGGCACCACCAAACACCCAAGTCAGCCACTGGGAAAGTTTAGCACTTTGAATAATTATTGCAATTGCGCTCGCACCCACTGGTCAAAGCCCATTTCGCACACCCCGCCACTTCTCATATACAACTTTGAAGAAATCACAACCCGTTGCGCGCCTCTCAAAAGTGACGAAGCATCCCGCGCGTAGCTCGTCCTCGAGCACCGCGCTCCATCACAGCACAATGGCTTCCACTCCTGAGTCCGTAGACTTCAAGTCCATGCTGAACAGTGAGTTGACTCTTGCCTTTGGTGCCTCCCGCCATCCCTGTTTCTTGTTCAGCCGCTCATTCTGCATTTTTTGCGCGTAGATGTCCACGATGTTTGGCAGCAAGTCCGCATACCTGTGATTCTGTTCACAGCTTTTGGACTCTTGATCCTGCGCTTCTACCTCCATTCAACCGAGGAGAAGAGCGAATTGAAGGCTCTGCCCAAGGCCTATAACAGAGAGAAGCCCGAGACGAAACCCGTGGAGGAGAAAAAGAAGGATGTCAAGCCAAGCCCGCCGAGCCCTACCATTGAGTCGAAAGCGCCAAAGTCGAACGGACCTAAAAGAATAAAAGGCGGAATCGTCAAGCGAACTTCTTCCAACGAGGCAAAGGGAGAGGTTCTGGTCCGCAAGGTTAGGCCTCTGGTCTTCTTCTCGAGCATCACCGCAAACACACCCAAGATCGCAAAGGCGTACGCGGAGGGTCTGGAAAAGGAGCTGCAAAAAGTCGCTGCGGATACTGACTGCTCGTTCACGACTCCCGAGGTGCTGGATCTTGCCGAGGTCGACTTCGACGACTACTTCATCACCCCACCCAAGTCGGAAGAGGACCCCGCGGACTTGTTCTACCTGTTCCTGCTACCAAGCTACAACATCGACACCATCAACGACACCTTTTTGGAGCACCTCCAGGAGACTCACCACGACTTCCGTATTGACACCGCCCCGCTGTCCCCGCTGCTTGGATACTCCGTCTTTGGATTTGGTGACAGAGAGGGCTGGCCGACGGAGGAGGATGGTTTCTGTTTCCAGGCCAAGCAGGTCGACAAGTGGATGGCGAAGCTGACGGGACGGAAGAGAGCCTTTCCCGTCGGAATGGGCGACACTAAGAGAGACTACCCTGAGCGCCTGTCTGAGTGGTCAGAGGGCGTCGTCGACGTTCTCGGCATGCTGGCCAAGACTGGCAGCCTGGGAGAAGGTCTCCCGGGAAGCGGCGCCCCTGAAGAAAGCGATGACGAGTCTGCTGCCGAAGACGACGACGAGGTGTTGATCGAGGACTTTGAGGCGAAACCCGAGAAGCTCAAGAGCCGCAAGAACATTGATGACGTCGAAGACCTCGGGCGCATCATGAAGAGCTCCAACCCCGACGCAGCCACAAACGGTCGCGCAACCAAACCAGCAACGGCGGGGGCAGCGGCGCCCATCGCCGTGGACTTTACGACATACGGCAAGACGGTCGCGAAGAAGACCCCGCTCAACGCTGCCAAGGAGATGGTGGCCAAGGACTCGCCTACGTACGCCTCGCTCACGAAGCAGGGCTACTCCATCGTCGGCTCGCACTCGGGCGTCAAGATCTGCCGCTGGACGAAATCCGCCCTCCGCGGCCGCGGCTCCTGCTACAAGTACTCCTTCTACGGCATCAACTCCCACCAGTGCATGGAGACGACACCCTCGCTCTCGTGCTCCAACAAGTGCGTCTTCTGCTGGCGTCACGGCACCAACCCCGTCGGCACGACCTGGCGCTGGGTCGTCGACCCGCCCGAGCTCATCTTTGAAGGCGTCAAGGCGAACCATTACAACAAGATCAAGATGCTTCGCGGCGTCCCCGGCGTCCGCGCCGAGCGCTTCGCCGAGGCCATGCGCATCCGGCACTGCGCACTCTCCCTCGTCGGCGAGCCCATCTTCTACCCCTACATCAACGAGTTCCTCGGCATGCTCCACGCCGAGCGCATCTCCTCCTTCTTGGTCTGCAACGCCCAGCACCCGGACCAGCTCGCCGCCCTCAAGGCCGTGACGCAGCTGTACGTCTCCATCGACGCATCCAACAAGGAGTCCCTCCGCAAGATCGACCGCCCCCTGCACCGCGACTTCTGGGAGCGCTTCCAGCGGTGTCTCGACATCCTCAGAGAAAAGCGCTTCAAGCACCGCACCGTCTTCCGCCTGACCCTAGTCAAGGGCTTCAATGTCGACGACGAGGTCGAGGGCTACGCGCAGCTCGTCGAAAAGGGCCTGCCCTGCTTCGTCGAGATCAAGGGCGTCACCTACTGCGGCACCTCGACGGCGTCCAACGCCGGCCTGAGCATGTCCAACGTCCCCTTTTACTGGGAAGTGCAGGAGTTCGTCACGGCGCTGGAGAAGAGGCTCAACGAAAAGGGGCTCAAGTACGGCATCGCCGCGGAGCACGCACACAGCTGCTGCGTCTTGCTCGCGAGCGATCGTTTCTACAAGGATGGCAAGTGGCACCCACGCATCGACTACCAGCGCTTCTTTGAGCTGCTGGAGGAGCGGGGTGCCGACGGAGACTGGAGGCCGGAGGATTACATGGGCGAGGCGACGCCCGAGTGGGCTACATGGGGCAAAGGCGGTTTCGACCCCAGAGATGACAGAGTCGACAGGAAGGGCAGGAAAATCGAGGCCTAGGTTTTCGGGTAGAAGAGTAATTCAAACGCAAATCAAAAAGGCGCTAGCTGCATGTTCTCAAGGAACCAGATACACACGCATTATGAAATTGTGGAATTTCGTGAATCTTCATCTTCTTGCCTATTTGTCCCTGCCAGGATCGTCAATATACACTTGGTTTCTTTCCTCTTACAAAACCTTCTATCAAAACAGCCCCAGCCGGCCAGGTATTGTACAGTGAAAAGTCGTAATTCCTCCTTCCTCTTCTCGCAAGATGCTGGGGGATTACGTATGGGATGGTGGATTTGCAGCATCACGCCATTGGTGGAGTGACTGCGGAATTTTTGGGGGCGAGCGCGCCGTAATGTGTGTCCACAGGTTTTGGGGGGATATGAGAGAGTGGAGGGGAACTCGTTATGGTGAGAGCTATAACGTTCGAACGAGGCTCTTTTAGTCCAGGCCGACGGTGGGCATGCCGCCGAGGTCAGCGTTGATGCCACCCTGGTACTGGCCAATGTTGAGAGAGGAGTCGTAAGCGATCATCTCGGCGAGAACGTCAAGGACGGGCTAGATGGATGGTCAGTTCCAGATCGAATGCCGTAGTAGTTTCCAGGGTTTCGAGGAGGTCTCTTACCTTGGGAACGGTCTTGTCGTAGATGCCGATCAGGTCACCAGGCGTAGGGTAGACCTTGAGGCCCTTGTAGAACGCAAGCGCGGCTTCAACGGCGCGCGTGGCTAGAACATCAACAATTGTCAGCAAGCTGTACCATCTCTCGTTTTCTCCGGGTGATTTGTTCTGATGTAGGGGTTGGACTGACGGTCTGCGGAGAGGGTCTCTCCCTCGGAAACCTGCTGGAGGAAGTATGCCTCCTTCTGCTCGACGTCGGTAGGGAATCCCTCCTCCTTGGCCTCATCGACGGCCTCCTTGATGGATTCCCTCTGGCGGACGGTCTCCTGCTGAGCCGACTCCTTCTCAGCCTTGTGCTGTCGGCGCTCGTTTCGACGCAGTTCTCTCCGGAATTCGGCCTTGTTGCGTCGCTGGTAATCGAAGAAGGCGGCGTAGGCTTTGGCGACGAACGTTAGCAAACACAGCTCCTATCACACCAGCCCCTCGATCCCTTTGCAGAATTGGTAGAGGAGAAAGATTGATGTTCAAGTGCATAGAGGTGTTGAGGCAAACTCACCAACCAAGCCGGTAACGGCAGCGGCGACTGATGCCGTCACTATCGTGGAAGTCTGGGACATCTTTTTTTCTTGGAAATTGGGGAAGAGCGGACGAGGGTTTGGCTTTCGGTCTACAGCAGTCGGAGCTGATAACAACGATGAGAACTGACGAGATTGGTGTTCAGGTTCACGATGTTGCGCTTTGGGGGTTGAGGGATGGTTGAAAGACCGGGGGGAGACAACGGGCGAGGATTCGTTGACGGAGTAAATATCGAAGGAAAGAAGCTCTATCGGGAATTGATGGAGCTTCCTCTACCAATTTTTTTAGCCTCTGCGCCATGGTTCCCAGGTCGCGTTCTCTTTGCCAAGCAGCCGCTGAGAGTGGGTCTCTGAGAGCACAGACCAGACTGATTGAACATACAGACTGATACGTACCTCGGTGAATCGACAGCTCAGCAGTGAGCACCTACCAAGAGGCCACTGCTGCTGCCCATTGCCTACCCACTGGAGGATGCTCTTAGGTGCGTGGGTGCCCGCCTTCCAGATTACGTAGAGGGATGAGTACTGCGTGCCACAGAGACCTGTGACTCCACGTCCATCTTAATGTCTAACAGGCAGGGGTCTTGTCCTCTTAACGGCGACCAGAGCACGGCAGCTTCCCACTCCGCGAACGACAGACGGTGCATGAAACAACATCAATCCGACCTGACCTGCGACTTCACCAAAGGGGCTTTGTCCTCGCCCTTTCTACCCACATACCATTGTCTCTCTATGCGCAATCATTGCTATTAGATACGTGCCCTCCAGCACGTAATACCAACTCAACCGCCCGCCATGTCGGAGGATCGGGAGCGCAGCAAGATCTCGCTCAGAAGCGGAAAGAGAAAGGGCCGCCCGCAGATTAGTGCACCTCGCCAGATCTCAGAGCCCATCCTACAAGATGGATCGGGTCCTGTACGGCCTCCTGGCTCAAGGCCGATGGCCGATGCAGGCCCTCCGCCAGTCCAGCCTCGGCTTCGCCCGCCGCCACAAGCTGGAGGCGGAAAGGTGAGCATTCTCTCTCTCACCAAGGGCTGGGCGAATAGTGAAGTCGGGGACATCAGAAGCTGACGAGAGAATATGTAGACCTCGGACTTGGTCAAGCGACGATATTCGACGCGGTTTAACACCCTGCCGAACGACTTCGACGTGAATAACCCGCCGGTACCATCTATGCCATCCCTCGACAAGTACGAGTCTCGCCAGCGCAGAGCAGCACAGCCCCCTCCCAGCCGTGGAGGCACCGCGCCAGCACCCATTGTCGATATAAAGGCATTGCGAGATCCCGGATTGGTCCCAGACCAATGTGAGTTGTGGACTATTTTTGTTCATGGCTTATAACTAACACAGCTGTAGATGTTGCGACATTGCTCAGCGAAGCGGACGAAGATCAAATCCGCGAATTTGAGGATAACCTCCGCAGTCTTAAGGGCCGGGCCAATGCAGACTTGCAGCAGAATGTCATGCAAAATCGTACCCAGTTCATTAAGATCAGCAAGGAGGCCGAGAAGCTCAAGGGCGAGATGCGAGCGTTGAAGAACCTAATGACAGACCTCAAGGTGAATACAACAGCGCTTCGTCAGGCCTCGAACAACGGGAACAATGAGTCTTCAAGCCTTGGAGGCGAATTGTCGACAGGCTTGAGCAAGAGGGACAAGCGAAGCTCGGTGGCAGACCGAAGTGCCCTCTGGAACTCGCAGATGCAGGCCTTGTACAAGAATGTCGAGGGTTCCCAAAAGTTCCTGCCCATTTCTGCTCGACGCCACGTCATCCAGAATGCAGGAGCGTGGATTGAGCTGGACAACGCAACGTACAAGTCCCGACGAGCGATGCAGATATTTCTATTAAGCGACCATTTGCTCATTGCATCTCGCAAGAAGAGAAAGGCCGACGTCCCGCCTCGGGAGGCCCAGGGCCCCTTAGTGAAGCTAGTCGCCGATCGTTGCTGGCCACTGCTTGATATTGAGGTCGTTGATATGGCTGGATCGAGCGATAACTCGACGACGAGAAACAAATTAGCAGATGCCGTCATGGTCAGGGGTGTTGGTCAGGAATCTGTCATCTACCGAACCGAAAAGCCAGAGGATACGGAAAAGAACAGCCTGCTTCTCAACATCCGCAAGGCAGTGGAAGAGTTACGCAAAGAGCGACAGTCGGAACTGGAGGCTAACAACAAGGCCAAGGAGACGATCAACTACTTTGCGTCCCGTGACCCCGGCCTACTCCAGAAGACGGAGCTTTTGGAAACATTGTCTGACATCAAGGACATGCTCATCGACGTGGACGGAAAGCAGCAAAATCTACGATGGGTCGAAAGCCAGATGGACGAGCTCGACATTGACATTGCCTTGCAGAGCTTTGAGCCGGCAGTTGACCGCGTTGAGAAGCTGAAGAATCTCGCTCGAGGCTTGAAGAACAACGCGGTGGCGCAGGACTTCATCAGCTTCAAGGTCGAAGAAAGATGTGCCAAGTTAGCGGGCATGATCATTCGCGAGCTCGAGACGACGCATACGGCGCCTACCAAGAACAAGCGCAACATCAGTTGGTTGGCCAGGCTTGGCTACGAAGACAGGGCTCGCGAGGCATATCTGGTCGCCAGACATGATATAATCACGAAGCGATCGAGGTGAGAATGATGATACTTCGCGTCCTTTTGAACTTGGCTAACCTCCTTCCAGACAATGCATCTTCCAGGGTGATTTGCACTTGTACATCTGGGAGCTCTCGTTTGTTTACTTCTCTCTGATCCGCAACACCGTGAGCTGCTTTCACTCATGCTTTCCCCCGCCGATGATGAGCGCCTGCGTCAAATGGGCCAAGGAGGAGGTGGAAACCTTCAATGGTATCCTCGCGCGGCAACTGAGTGGCACAGAGCGCGGCGGAAAGGTCTGGAACGAATGCATGGAGCGCGCTCATGAACATGCAAAGATGTTGAACGAGGTGCAGCTTGATTTCCGCACACTTGTTGGACGTGATTTGGAGCAACCGTCGGGCGTCACCAGCCCTGTTGGTCTCGGGCTGTCGTAATTGACTTCCACCGAGTAAACCGAAGACCCTGCGATGTCTACAAGAAGCATGCTAAAGACGACGTTGACGGGCCTAGAGTAATGGTTGGTAATGGTAATGGGCAATGACTGGACGGGCTCAAGATTGCGGGTTGTATTTGGTCCGGGGTCAAGTAAATGATACCGAGACATTGAAGACGAAGTGACGGAAGTGCCGCGGCCACTGGCATGTGTATAGGTATCTTGGGCCACTTGAGGCTTGTTTGGCCCCTGGCCTGTTTACTTGCGACGACGTTTGTTACCTAAATAGGGAAATGAGTAGTTAATAGGACAAATGACCTATATCGAAACTTGAAGTGAGGGAGTAACGAGGAGCAGCCAGTGGGATCAAGACAGCCAGAGAAATCAGCGTTTCGTGAGATTCATCAATGGCATGATGCTTGTTGTGTTCATTGTCTTGTGAAGATTGAGATCCATGGATGCTTTGCCTGCCCAGGTATCCAAACCTACCTAGCGTGCCTAGGTACCTTCCTTACCTTCATGGCGGGGTTGATGCATCAAATGAGTACACGCAGAAGTGACGAGGCTTACGTTAGTGCAGTGTATCGGATTAAGCGAGTCTAGGCCAGGAGCTGTCACCCAATGGGAGGCATTTGTCTCCTGCCTCATGGTTCGGGTGTGTTTCTTGCCTGGGCCTAGGAAAGTCACATCCATTGGTGGTGGTGTAGGTATCTCTCAATCCCCCTCCTGCCTCCTGCCTCCTGCCCCAGTCTGCTGGTCTTGCTGCAACCAGCAAGCACACCACGGCCGCCGCACCTGCACCTGCACCCAGCACTAGAGCACCACCTTCCACATCGCAAAAATCCCCAGTGCCCAACGTCGACATCTTCCCCCGTTCTCATCACAGCATCCAGAAAACATAATCCCTTCCAACCCCACCCTGCGCGAACGCTTCCAACGTTGTGTTTCTCTCCCTCGCCCAAAACACTCGATCGCGTCCTCCTTATCTGGCCTCAGACGAAGCTCTGACCGCCTTTGACGATTCGCCGCCAGCCCCACGCTAGGATTGAGGTGCTGTGCCAATCTGAATACCGCGACCGGCTGCTGAAAACAACGTCATCCTCAACCTAACTCGACGACCCCGACGACGCTGTCCCCTTCGCTCCTCACGCCCCTGCCTTCGTGCGATCGATTCATCTATCAACTCGCCAAGCATCTCAATCCATTAGACGACTTTCAGCATGGATACGAACATGGAGGACGTCGGCCGTGTCCCCGCCGATCTGCCATCCACCCAGAACCTTGAGCCCACCACGATCCCTACTCTAGACGGTTGGATCGAGAGCCTCATGAGCTGCAAGCAGCTCGTCGAGGCCGATGTCCAGAGACTCTGCGAGAAGGTTAGTATTTCGTCCCCAGCGATGATGAAGGTCGCGATGCGCGTTTCCCACTAGCTGTCGTCATAGCTGCGGTTCGCCATTCGGTCTCCCCTCCCCTCATCTCGAATCACCCCTCTCGCGTGACCCCTAGGCACGCCTTGCTAACGTCCATCAACAGGCGCGGGAAGTCTTACAGGATGAATCCAATGTGCAGCCAGTCGTATGTGTTCCCGATCGCAAGGCAAGTGTTTTAAGCTGACACCCCTCATTCAGAAATGCCCGGTGACAGTGTGCGGTGATATCCACGGCCAATTTCACGATCTCATGGAGTTGTTCAAGATTGGCGGTCCGAACCCCGACACCAACTACCTGTTCATGGGTATGCTAACCATATCATTTAACTCGCACTCTCTTGGATAGACGCTTACCTTGATAGGTGACTACGTCGATCGTGGTTACTACTCCGTCGAGACCGTGACTCTCCTCGTCGCCCTCAAGATCCGATACCCTCAGCGCATCACCATCCTGCGTGGCAACCACGAGTCCCGCCAGATTACCCAGGTGTACGGCTTCTACGACGAGTGCCTCAGAAAATACGGCAACGCCAACGTCTGGAAGTACTTCACCGATCTCTTCGACTACCTCCCCCTTACCGCCCTCATCGACAACCAGATCTTCTGTTTGCACGGTGGTCTGTCTCCTAGTATCGACACCCTGGACAATATCAGAGCTCTCGACAGAATCCAGGAAGTGCCCCACGAGGGCCCAATGTGCGACCTCCTTTGGTCCGACCCGGATGACCGCTGCGGCTGGGGGATATCACCCCGTGGTGCCGGTTATACGTTCGGTCAGGACATCTCCGAGGCTTTCAACCACAATAACGGTCTGACGCTTATTGCGCGTGCTCATCAACTTGTGATGGAGGGCTACAACTGGTCTCAAGACAGAAATGTCGTGACAATTTTCTCTGGTGAGCTGAGCTCCTTGATGTGGTGGGCTGGAGAATCATGGCTAACCGAGCCAGCACCCAACTACTGTTACAGATGCGGTAACCAAGCGGCGATCATGGAGATTGACGAACATCTCAAGTACACTTTGTAAGTGTCCACCTTCTACCAACGACCTGTTGACAAGCGTATACTAACCGTGCGCAGCCTGCAATTCGACCCTTGCCCCAGAGCCGGCGAGCCGATGGTCTCGAGACGCACACCCGACTACTTCCTCTGATCAACCTATCCGATACCCTTGCCGTCCACTGTCCAGATCAATCTGGATGTCATCCGTGGACGGGATTCGAAGAGATGGGGGCGTGCATGCTCAACTTGCATTGGTGTTTTGGGGGCGTCTAATCTTGTAAGATTACAACAAAAGCCAAGAGAACCAATGTACTCCCAAGAAAGAGAGATCCTGCGTTGAGCAACATGATATAGAGCGAGAGAGAAACAGAATGGCCCAGGACGTTCAACTGCGAGCGCGAGAGTCCCTTAGCATTAAGGTCCCTGGTGTATCCTGGACGCTTTCCTCTGTCATCACGTTAGATACTCATCATAGACCGCCGGCAACAAAGAAGGTGTCGATGTTAATGACAAGCTGATGTTACAATTTCCGTTTTACATATTGACGTGTCACGCATTCGTGACGACAGAGTCGCGGGCTGATGCCTTCAAGGTAAGTTTTCAAGCTACTCCTAAATATACGATAAATGATCGCCTTGCGCCTGTAGGTCCATATCCAGAACCTCCCAAATATGCATCGTCATCATCATACATAAACTTTCCCAAGTCTTTTGTCGGACGTAGTGTTGCGCCCTGGCCATGCGGTTCTCCATCATCTCCTATGTCGCCTACGCCGACGTTCATGACTTCGTCTCCTCTCCTCACTTGTCTTCCTCCTCGTCGGTCGGCCCCTTCGTACCTTCTTCTCCACAACGACACGCTCACGGAAGATCTCTCTCCTCCTCCCTCCAACACCTAAACCTCCTATACCCACGTTGATCTCATTGCTAATCTCTTCGGACCGACTACTTCCCAACGAACGCGTCCCGCCAAAGTAGCCGCTTCGGCTGTCTCCTGATCCCGTCAGGTAGCTGCTCCGGGTGTAGTCGGTGGCGAGGTAGCCGCTGGGGGTGAAGTACTCTGTGCGAGAAGAGGCTCCTCGTCTGCGCTCCGTCGTGGTCCGTTTGGAGAAGGAGGCGGCGATGAGGCCTTGGCCGTGGCCGTGGCGACCGCTGCGACCACCGCGGAACCTCTCGCGGACGGTGAGTGTGCTGACGCGTTTGTAGGCGTGCTGGCCCTTTGCGTAGTGGCCCGGTTTGCAGGCGCCGTCGGGGACGTGGAAGCGGAGGTCGAAGCGGAAGAGGGCGTAGAGGAAGATGACGACGAGCTCGAGGTCGTAATTGAAGATGTAGTAGCAGGCCTTGTGGTGCCACCAGCCGGGGAAGAGGACGGGGCGGACGGCGTAGTTTACGGCGCAGCGGTAGGCGGCGCCGATGGTCATGAGGGTTGCGGCGGTGAGGACGAGGATGATTTTGGTGGTGAGGGAGCCGTAGCCGAAGGGTTCGGGGCGGCGGAGGCCGGGGTAGAAGGCGGCGAAGAGCAGGATGGGGATGGGGAGGAAGGCGATGAGAGCTAGGGTTGTGGAGGTGAAGAGCTGGACGACGCGGCAGTCATGAAGGCTTACCGGGTCGAGGGTGTAGAAGCTGACGACGAGGGCGGTGATGGCGCAGACGAGGCAGACGAAGATGAGGAAGTAGGTGAAGAGGAAGAAGGCGTTGACGGCGGGCAGCCAGCCGATGTTGGGGTGGAGGCCGCGGAGGAGGCGGTGGGTGAAAAGGAGGTTGAGGATGAAGAGGAGAACGACGCCGGCGGCGGCGAAGACGGCGGCTGCGATGTTGAGGGAGACGTTCCAGGGTTGGGTGGCCCAGGCGATGCGGAGGGAGAGGGCGATGATGCGGGTGAGGCAGAAGCCGACAAGGACGCCCGAGGGGAGGAACTTGTGGCCCCGGCCCAAGTTGCGGGCCAAGATTGCGCCGTTGAGGAGAGCGGCTGCGAAGAAGAAGATGATGAGGATGATGCAGATTGGGACGTCTACCCTCACGTCTGGGATGAGGCCCAGGGCGGCCACTTGTGGGGGGTAAGGAGGCCCATAGAGAGGGAGCTAGTAAGGCGGAAAGAGTTCACGATGTTAGCTGTGAGGTCTTCTTTTCTCGAAAGCCGGTCAGGATGGAAGGAGGGAGATAGGGGGGGGTTGACGAACTGGGGCCCCAATGGGTACAATTGCCGCCATTCTGGCAAGTGCCTGCCAGGAGTAGTAGCTATTCACAGGCTTGAAGCTGCTGGCAAGCCAAGCAGCACCTGCAAAACAGCTACAACCGGGGAGGAGGAGGCTGGACGAGCTGAAGAGTTGGACGCTTGGCAGCCAGTGCTCATGCTCATGCTCATGCTGGTGCTAGGAGACGAGGGGATCTTGAACAAACGAAAATAAACACTCCGAATGGAAGTGAAAAGAGAGGAAAGGATCCTTTCTTCTCTTCATTGCGTACGATAGTTTCTTGGAAGAGACCGGGGTAAGAGCAATTCTTTATCATCATGTTGCCGCGCGGAAACATATGTTCGTCTGAGCTTCGATGCGTTTCTTGCTTAGCGTCGGCGAAGGGTGCGTTGGTCTATGTGAGCTATTCGGCACGGACTTGAGGGGAAGAGGAGAGCGAAGGACGAGGCAAAAGGTAAAGGCGAATGCGGGTTTCAGCCTTTGGAAAGAGCTGAGAAGAGCTGAGAGCGAGAGAAGAAAGACGAAGGGTCGGATTGGTTCTCACTGATGAGTTTGTGCGGTCTTTGGAGGTGTTCTCGAAGAATGGGTGAGGGTGATGAGTGGTGGGAGTTCGTCTCATAGATAGAATGGCGTTGTGAAGAAACGAGATGACAGTATATTGTCTCCCATACTTCATATTCCCCTCCTCGTCTTTATCAGTCGGCCTCTTCAAAACATTACTCTTCTGTTACGCCTGAAGTCATGGGATAGACCCGAGAAGCGAACAGCGAGCCCAAGAGGCAGAGCTTTGCCTCTCGAGATCGCGTCCACTCCATGCTTGCGGTGGCACGCGGCATGCGACATGTGAGATCTCTGCAGGCTCGGATCCTCGAGTACAGAGAAAGGTCGCGCACAAGTCGGAAACCTGCGAGACGCCTCAGCCCCAGTCGAACAAACTACTGCAAGTCTGTAAGTATTGGCCCCATCTCATCACCGGCAACTGTAGATCGGGGAAAGAGGAAGAGGGGCATGCCATTGCACAGTAAGGCTGCGGTGCAGAAACATGTTTCCCATCGATCCCTTGCCGGTCTACCTGGGACAGTCAACGTCGGTAGTCCGCATCCCTCTTGGACGTGCGCCGCCGTTAGTCCCGCGGCGAGCGATATCGATGGCTGGGGAGCCACGCTCACGGACCTTGAAAACGAGGGACCGGTGCTGAACGGGCTCCTCAATTGTCGGAAATAACGGCTCATGGATTTTGCTTTATGATCCATGTTGACCCCAGAGGTTCCGGATAGTCACTTGCTGGAAAATTGAGCAATAGATTAGCCTGGTTGGTGATAGAGGTCTATGTATGCCCATCCTATAGCCATAGCCAGTGTAGCTTCTAGTCGATCATAAGACTCATTCTCAGACAGAAAAAATAACACAAATGAGCTCGTTGTTGTCGATTGGTCTCGTCAAGGTTTGTACCGAGATTGGTTCAAGCATGTTCAAGCCACGGAATGGCGCCTATGGCAAGGACATCGATGCCGAAGTAAACGTTCTTGTGGCTGGCTCCTGAGAAGGTCTGGCGGTGCTGGAGAAGGATTGTGTGCTTGACAGTCATCGAAACTCAATTGCAACTCAATATTATAACCTCGTCGAGTCAACCGGCCAGATATTCAAGCACTTTCGTCCAAGACTCGCTATTGTTGAGCTTCCAAAGTCCAGTATGGCACAATTGATCCTCAAACTCCCAAGTTGCGTGAGACGCCACTTGGACTTTCGACGTTGTGCGCAAGTATCAACGGGTTATCTCCATTAGGGGTTGTGCTGAAGAGTCCGGTAGCTTATAAGAGGACTCGAAGCTGGTGCAGGTGATACGTATTGTTCGATGTTCAACACGGTTGTGAAGCTTGGTAAGATTTGGGGAGATCGTTATGGTAAATTACTCGTATCGACAATAAACGGACAGAACATACGTCCAACACTGTGAAAGCTTTTTCAAGATACGGAAAGGGTTGGAGCAGGCGTCCTATTTAGAGAACGCAAAACCCTGTGGAGAATCTCCCGACAGCATCGTACTGATACAACTGTTGCTCCTGGGGGTTTGACGCATTTCAACATTGCGACGACTTTGCCTTCGTGTCGGTCCTTCGACCAGACATTCGAATAGGGAGTTTGTTGATAATGCAATGTCATCGACAAATCCAACTTTTGCACCTCGGATCGTTAAGGATAATTTACCGATTCGAGAGCGATGTGCAAGCATGCTGGGGCTAGAGGCCAATCAGTTAATGTCTACTGCGAGGCATAGGAACAATCTCCGCCGAGTGATGAATCCGAGGTAGCAATAGGTATGCGGGTATTCGTTTAGCATGAATATGCTATGATTTAGTAGCAAATGTGTCAGCCGCAAGATGTCCGCCAATGTGACACCACCGTTTCGCCGCATAAAGGGCAATAACGGCGAGGCCGCAGCAGTCCTCAAAGAAGACTTAGACTGCGCGTCGTTGCTTAGACGCCGCTCCGCGAGTAGTTACCGACGGCCGCCGTTCTTCAATTTGATGGCGGATCCGTTTCCTGCCAATCTTTTCTTAGACAAGGCTACCAAGATAATCGTGGTTGTGCAGTGTAGTGAGTACTTGAATGATACCCAGTCACCCAAACGCCGTTAGAGGCATTAGCGTAGTGAGCAACGGTCTCAAGTCAAAATCGTTTCTTTGTTGATCTTTGTTGGACGTGTGGATATATGGGTAGTTTGACGCGGCAAATGCGTGCCACGTTTTTCCAAGAAGGAAGCATAGTAGCTGATAGCTCTCGACGACAAACCGACACAAAGCCAATGGTAGAGCGTTTTAGCCTCAGACTCGGCAGCAACATGCACGCTCGGATACTTCTGCCTCCCACGACGTGCAAGATAATCCATATTGCATGGCGCCAGTGTCTCAAGACATAAAAGAGTGGTCCGAACTGTGGCAAAGATTTGGAGTTGTCGCGCCCGATTGAATATGGACTGACGCATCTTAGGCGGATGCCCTGTATGTGGCTGTTGAGCCCGAGGACCATTGATGCAAGGGATCGTCCTCACCTACAGCATTGCTGCATCGCTGGTACTTAGTAGGGTGGATGAGGATGTCGTCACAACTGAGGAAAGGCGACAAGGAGATTTCTACACACAACCAGCGAGGCCGAGTTGGATATAGACTTTCAACATGCTTATCCGAAGTCAGGATTCAACCTCGGATCCGAGCTGTTCCATGGTCGGCTGACGTGTAATGCAACAAGCGATTGGCAGTGAAAGTAAGACGAAAATTTGGAGATCCCCCAGCCCGACGATTTGCGATGTTTCTCGCTCATCCAACACCATATCTATTTTTGTTTGATGATCATTGCACGTTCTTCGACCTAGGGTTGGGTGAGCTCCGTGACAGCGGGAGCGGCTGGCCGCGTGGTGAATAAACGGCCGAAATATTGGTTAAAGCCTAACGGGTACTGAAGTCCGCAACAGAGCCGTCTTGAAACATGACAATGATCGGCATTGTTATCGGATTCGAGTGTTGGTCTTTTCGCACATCCTCTGTGCCTCTGTATCCGTCCGCGAAGTCTCGAGCACAGGATGCTGAGCTGTTGACTGGCGGCCAGGATGAGATATGATGGGGTTCGAATGGAGGCGAGCTGTCATTGGACAGATCGTCCAAACGGCGCGTTCATCTTTGGGAACAATCCGACGAAGTGGCTAGGCCTTGTCCGTGCCACGCAAGGTAGAGCCAGCGCTGGGACCATCTTTCATTTCGCAAACGCTGCTATCGTCAGTAGCCGACGTGGTTTCTGGGTCAGGGAACGTTGGAGTTGCGCTGTCCCTCCCCCACTGTATTCGCAATCCTTGTTGTAATCCTGAAGCATGGTGAGCCTCACCAATCAGAGCATAGCGTTGCTGGGGTTGAGACATGCACGAAGTCGTCGTAATTTCGCTTATTGCTCCGCTTTGCCAACCGCCTTGGTTGCCCCTCAAGTCTATTCGGCAGTTTGTGAATGTTTCTTCGCTGAATGGATACCATGTTTATGCTCACTTGGCTTATGGAGCTCTGTTTTTGGGCTGACGATGATGGAAGTCCGTATTTTGACAGTTCGTGTCATCGTCTTGTTGGAACTCGGATGTCAATGGCTACAAGTCCATGGCTGCACTCTGCAGAAGCAACCAGTATATCCGTATCGCGCCGCGCCATTGCGACAGACGCGGCGCTGCTGCAGTGTGACTCTGCGGACACATGTACCTGCACAAGCTTGGTGGTGAGAGAATCACACCGACGCCCAGTTGCCATACATACGGATACATAGTCTCGCTGTGCAGGTTGTTGCCCGTCTCTCAATTGATCGTTGTCCACCTTGCCGATTTCGGTCGTCCTGCACCAGCCAGCATGCGAGCTGTCGCCCACAACCGTATTGATAACCGTGTTCAGACGGGGAGGGTGCCGGCCGTACCCCAGAAAATGCATCAACATCACTACAGATGAATGAGGGGAACCAATTTGGACGGCGAGCATCCGTATCCGTACTCCGTACTGACTGTGAGGTGTCTCGACTATCGAAGAAGCTGAGGAAGTGAGTGTGTAGGACGAAGTGGGTTGAAACACAAGACGATAGCCGTGAGACAGTCTGCCAACAAGCGTGTATCGGCACATGGTATCTCGAGACATGGCTCTCCCTTGCCAACGCTGCCACGAGTGTTTGCAATTGATGAGTTTCTTCAGTCTTGTTGTTGGGATGCTGAGTGATTTTTGGTACAGATTCTCGTCACAGCCTTTGTCGAAGATGGGATGGCAGTGAGTGACACGAACGGGCCAGCCATCATGATGAAGCTTCGACAAGGAAGACCGCGTGGTGTGAAGATTGATCAACGACGAGGAAGACATGTTGCCGACGGCTGATTTCCCGCCATTGCCGCACTGACCTGGCAAAGCCGGGGAAAGAGGGATGGCCCCTCCATAAGAGAAGCATTCAGCTCATGTTCCCAGTCTTCCTCGTCATGCTTCAGTTGATGTTTGTTTTTGTTGCCCGCATTGCCAGCACATTGGCGTCGTGACGCTGTGGACACGACGTAAATGTGAGCAGTGGAGGGTTGAAAATAGAAACGGATGGTAGGATGGCTTGGTACCCTAAGGTAGAGACTGAAGTTAAGGAAATGAGAACGAGGTCGAAAGAAACGGTAGGTGACCAACCGTCTTCCCGTCTCTCCATATGTATCCGTAGAATCTGCCGGCGTCGCGGCGCTTGGATTCCAAGTACTCGGGACGGGACATTGTTAGGAAAAGTTCCGAGCAGATGTTGACGAAAACAACGCTGACAGCCTTGCAGGTTAAGTCAACCGTAACGAGCCGAACCACGGGCCTTGTCTATGCCCATGAAAGGGGTGAGTTCCTGCTGGTCGTCACGGCCCACGGCTGCGATGAAGGGGCTTATTGTGGTTTATGCAAATGGGATGTCCGTACCGACGGAGGGGACGGGTTCGAATGGGGACAAAACGGAGTAGAAACCAACGATAAGAGAGAGGATTGGACCTGGCGCTGGGGGAAGAAAGCATGCAGGACCAGGAGTGAATTGGCACACAAATGGAAAGAGTGTTGGCAGTTTGATCCATGGCCGACGAGGGAAGACCCTGAGACACCCCTGTCAGCTTGTAGTTGTTCCCCTGCTCCACCAATTTTGAATGATCAAGGCGCTTTGCCTGTTTCTGACATTTCCGGTGGCCGTTGCTTCCTCAAGTTCTTGTGAGAGCAGGGGTAGCTGGTACGTTGCCAGGCACGAAGGCGGTAGTACGTACCGTTTGTTCCTACCGTCAACTTTCTTTACCTTCCCGGTCGTGACTTGCAAGTACTCCGTGCCTTAGTTTCTGAGCGGTCGCCCATGCAGACGTGGACCATTGGTAGCGCAGCCACTCATATCGTCCACAGCTGACGGGTCTCTGGTAGTCTCTCCTTCTCATTGGAGACAATGTCGCGCGGATGGCTTTCCTGCAGATGGTGGTGGCCGTGAGGTGGGCAACTTCTTTTTTGGCTGGTGCGCTCTTTCCTTTTCTCTCTCTCTGAGTGACTTTACTTGTAGACTGAGTTTCTCCTCAAGGCTCAAGGACGGTAAGGGCCCAAAGAAGGCAGGGCCCCAGCCTCCTTACATCCATGTCCCATGTCCCATGCTCATATGGCCCCAGTCCACGTCCAGAAAGAACTTCCATCCTTACCAGAGAAGAAAGTCCACACCTCCAAACCTCTTAGTTGCACCTTCCCGTCGCGTGCCGTCGCCATTCAGGCCTTGTTTATGGTCCACCGCCCAGGTCCCGGCCCAGGGTCAACCTGAAGGAAGCGTGGGAAGGTACCTACCTTCCACCCTGCCTATGATAATCGGCTGTGCCCATGTGCCCATCCCCTGTCTCTCGTCTCTCGCGTTGCTCGCTGCCTCCCAAATTTTCCCTATTTTCCCCAAGGTCCTCCCGTACCTGCCGCCGATTGCTCCTCTTGCCTCCCCTTCCCTTTCCCTCCCGCGCGTGAGTGAGTGTGTGTTTGTGTGGTTGCGAGCTTCGTCCCGCCCCAAAAACAACATCATCGCCTTTCCCTTCTTCTCTCGCCTCGACGAGCCCGACCGTGACACGTCGAATTTCCTCACAAATCTCGGATCTTGACTGTATCCTCCTAATTGTATTCCTACCCGAATATCGCCAATCAGCCTTTGTTCGCCTTCACTTACTTACTCTCGTTCAGCCTCTTATCTCTCGCAACCCACCGACCTAGTGGTGCAGTTCTCCGAGAACCTATTTCTAAATCTCTTGCTCAAGCTGCCGTCAACCTCCTTCCTGCGACAAAATCTCATCCGCATTCCATGTCAATAAGTTAAGCGCGACCCAACTACCCGAGCATCCGACATCCTCTCACCTTCCTCGGTCCCCGCTTGACGCTATTTCCTCAATTGACTTCAGTTGGCCAACCACTTACCCTCCGTTTCACCTGTTTTCCCGACGACGACGACGACGACAACAACCACAACAACAACAGCTCCGTAAACACCATTCGGCCTCTTGACGGAACCAATTGAAAGCCAACCCGAATCCTTTTTTGGTTACGACTATCACTCGCCAAGCATATCTCAGAGCCACAAGCACTCTTTACTTTAGTCGTCAAACACCCGCGACGATCTCCCGTCCGGCCTGTTGCGAAATTCCTTCGGGACGATCATCTGTGACCTCTTGGAAACATAGTCATGAACTAGATTCTTCTTTGATCAACAACTTCAAACCGAGCCTTCCAAGCTGGTGGCCACGATTCACACGGCAACAAACTGAACCACCAGCAAAGCAACGTCTACAGGCAGAGGACGAGTGATGGGTCAAATATCGAGAGCAGCACTCTCGTCAGTGCTGTACTCGGCCGTGGTCTCGGCGCAGTCAGGCTGTATATCTCTGCAGGGATCGACAACATGTTCTGCATTCCAATCAGCATCTGTTTCGACCACAGGTTTTGTCGCGGGGATTTTGTACGTTATGCAATCACCACTCATTACGACCTCATACTGACCATTCTCGATAGCCCCTTCCTTCAGTATGTGTCCAGCAGGGAAACATTTGATCAGCAGATGTCGTCTTATCTTGAGACAACATACGTGCGGGAGAAGTAAGCTCATCTGTCGTCGATTTCGTAAAGGCCTTTGCTTATACGTGATCAGGTATCAAACATTACTTGGCTGTAGCAATGTCAATCTCACCAACCCGGACGAGCTATATGCACGCTTCACAGCTACAGTTGTCTGCAACTCAATTGTGCAGAATTCGATCGACGCATGCAACTTGACTGCATCGAACTCACGACCCGTGTGCGCCGACACTTGTGTAAGTGACCTGTGGAATTGCTAACAATTTACAACGGCTGCTAACGTGAATCAAAGGCCGAATTCGCACAGAGCGAGGCCCTGCTCACCTCAGACAGCAGTCTATGTGGCAATCCAGGCAGTAATCTCATGAATCAAATCCGAGCAGACTTCACCAACTGCGCTCTGCCTGCCGGTTCCCTGTCATCATCCAACTGCATTCAAGGTGTCGCCAATGAGAAGGAGAACTGCGGATACGGCAACAGCACCGTGGGATTGTGCTCCTACTGCGCATCTGGTGGTATTAACTCTACTGACACATGCTGCTACAACTCGAACATCGACCAGCGTTGCGCCGGAGTCACGCTTCCCTCCATTTTTCCTACCATGACCTTCGCACCCCCAACGGCGACGGCGACCCCGACCCCGTCAAATACGGCAGCTGCATCCAAAGGGCTATCTGGTGGTGCCATTGCCGGTATCGTTATCGGCAGTGTGGTCGGCGCCCTGTTGATTGCTGGACTTATCTTCGCATGCATCTTGCTCGCCAGAAGAAGACGAGGCGGAAGCCAAAAGGGCAGTGTGTTCAACCAACCGTCACCCTCTAGGCAAGGACCATCTACGGTTAAGATAGCACCGGCCCAGACCACGAGCGGTTACGAAGTTTTGCCCGGTGGCCGAATCGCCCGGATGTCAGCTTTGGAGAGCGCATCAGACCCGGCTCCCGTTCCGCCCAGTCGCAACAGCGGCCCCCTCATGGCAGCCGCCGCTGGAGGCGCAGCAGGATATATGACGGGCAGAAGGAGAGGTGATGACCCGTCCTCGTCTGAATTTGGAGACAGTCCCGAGTCAGAATCCAGAGCTGGTGTTCTACGACCCCCTCCCACTAACATCCGGAGGACGGGCTCTCTATCCAGTAGCTCGGTTCTCGCCGATCCGCAATCGCCAACGAGTGCCGGAATGTCGTCTCCGCAAGGCATGGCCAGCCAGCAATCTGAGCAGCTGCCGTTCTTCAAGGATTACTACTCTCAAGACGATATCCACCCTGGTGATAGAGTCGCTACACTCTGGGCCTACCAACCCCGCGCTCCCGATGAATTTACTCTCGAGCGCGGCGACATGCTCAAGATTGTGGGTATCTGGGATGACGGCTGGGCAACGGGTATTCTGATGGATGAGCGGGCCGACGAATGGGAAGCTCGACGACAGGCCCAACGAGACAGCGGTGTATCCAACACCTCTGGGCGACACCAAGACAACTCGCCGCCTGTAAGCGGCGAGATCAAGGCCTTCCCCCTCGTTTGCGTCTGCTTGCCAGAACACTGGAGGAAAACAATTGAGGGAGATGTCTCGACCGAAGGTTCCAGCGCTCACCAAGGACACTCATCTTTTTCATGAAAAAGCAAATCCAACTTATTGAGCTTTGCATACATCTAAACGAAAACAGTTGTCTTTCCAGCATGGGCTACGGCGTTGAGGCATCGAGCTAGCATTGACTTTGGCCTCACAGAGAGGTCAGGATTTCCCTCGGGCGACATTGACCAGCGACTCTTAATGAAACGTGTTTTACGTTTCCACCCGCCGCTGTTCACTCGACTCCCTTGGCTTTCTGCACATAGAGACGAAATAACTACATTTCTGCGACGACCCGCCTAATGTCATCAATCCTAGACGAACGAACGAAATTTTCTTCTTCAACGCGGCATCGCTTCGAATCATGATGGCCACTCGGAGGCTTCACAGACCAACACCAGTACTCGATGCGAGTGGCTCTGACGCGACGACGATACGCGATCCTAATTTTATGAGGAACACGCATGCAATGTGCCCTCCCTTTCATTTCGAACAGTCGACTTATATACCCATGGTGCGGTGACGAGGTACTGATGTTTGTGGAGTAGTAAGAGGTCGGGGAGGGCCTATGCGACATACCTAATGGCGGACCTTTTGGGCAGAAGAGCTGAGCCTACGGCTGCCAATATGTCTGTTTTGTAGTCCTTGGTGCCATCTGGTCACCGCACTGACAAGTCAACAATCGTTGATTGACTAGGCGAATGCGTGGACAACAATAACAACAGAGCTTGGGCAGGTGGTTCTGAGGAGGTGAATGAGATTTCGTCTTAATCATCGGCCGTTGTGGCGCGAAACTTATCCTGCTACACTTGGCATGGCGATATTATTTTGGCTTCCTCCTGTAACCTACTGGATAGCCGCTCAATTTACTTAGCTCAAATACCAAAAAGAGTTCTCTCACGCTGATGGTTCTTCTCGCTATAGCTGATGATTGCCTTACAGATGTGATAGTGTAGTAGTTGTGCCGCTGATGCTACCCTGGATGGTTTCATCCGCATCGGGAGC